TTTGCCAAAATCAGCCTTATCTTAGCAGGTACTATCCCCGCCCACCCACCCTTTCTTTTCTTAGAAGGTATCTCATTTGACAAAATCAGTCTTATCTTAACAGGTACTAGCCCCGCCCACCCACCCTCTCTTTTCTTAGCAGGTATATCATTTATCCTCTAAGTAAAGGAAGGGTGAGTGGGCTTTGTTTTTGTGTATAATTTATAAATGTTTTATTTATATTTTTTTTGGTCTATTTAAATAATGCACAACGATTAAAAAAATAAAAAGTGGATTTCAATCACCATCGTTACTACGAAATCAGAAACTAAGCAATTTGACATATATTATAAAATTACGTTTTTTCGTAATCAACATTATAAAGATTTTTTTTATTATTTTTTAGGGACTCCCGAACCCCTGTAGATAACGTACTGAAAAGTTAATCCGCCATTTTACAGACACCCGGTGTAGTAGATTTATACTAGTGGATTCTAAATATTGTCATCTTAAATGGGAACATTTAGTTCATTTAGTATTTGATTTTTCCAAATTAGTTTTTTAAGTAAATTCGAGTAAAACAAACAAGTAACCGAGTTATTAAAACTAGGGACTCTCTAGATTTATGTGGTTTGTAGAAATTTATGAGTTGTTGGCAGGAGGTATTTTGAAGAATTTTTACGCTATCTACAAGCTTTAGTGTTATCAACCTGAACATAATTAACATTTTTTTGTAGATAGGATCGATTATTAACAATAAGTGTTACTTATAATTTCATAATTATTTCCTGAAAAGGAAACACAAATTTCAAAGATAATAATTTATAGCGTACTAGTGGGAATTGTGTTCGATATGTAAATATAGTTTTTATGTGTGAAATTAGATAATTGAAATATTTTCTAGCTTAATTATAGTACATTATCTATTTATTTCTTCTATATGGAAATAAAAAATTGGCCGAAGTATATTTCTACACAACTTTCTTAGCACCTGAAGTATAAATCCAACAAATTCCGCTTCTTCGAAAAATTATAAAATTAGATTAATTTGTAAAATATGAAATATATTTAAAGCATAAAGAAATGGCCTTTCAGCAACGATGACAAGCTTCAACTTTAAGTGTTTATGTTACGTATAAATTCATGTGATTTGAATGAGTCGCCTCAAAACAGAGGACTAAAAATGTTCTAGATATTATAATTCTTATTTTATCATTATTATATAAATACGTGCGTATTCTCACATTCGAGAAAATGGTGTGACTCGTTTCGAGCTGTAACCGAAACGCCCACGAACGCTACCTCTGCTGATGTTGTCTCTATAGGTACATATTATCTAAACTACTAATATATCTAATATATCAGGTGTTCAGTTGAAAAGGTCATTAAGTTGCCCTCGACTTTGGTAAATATTGTACACAACTATCTGGATTAATGACACACATGCGTTTTTCGAATGATTTTGTTCCTATGCTGTCAAACTTACTGTGGAACTGATAAAACTATAATGTAGGAGGGTAAAAGGAGTGTGTCAATGTTTTATTATAACCTAAAATGTGTTCATACACATCTAATTCATAGAACCTTTCTTCCTTTCATAGAGAACATTGTTTTTATAAGTTATTGGTCATTGAACACGTGCATGGTCCAGAATCCGATTTGTAATAATTCTTCAGCCACTGTTGCTACAATGTTCGTTACAGTTTAAGCATAACCCAGCAGGTTGTTATTTACAACTTTATTCAAAACAAGATCCTGGAAATTACAGCGAAGAAAGTTCTTGTTTTCGTAATCACTTGGTTCTGGTTTTTTGGCCGTTTTGAAAATACCGTTAAATACAATTCAGTAACCTTAGCTCAACTTTCACACATGCAGCATAATTCGGTTGGGTTTAACGTTTTTTTTTTTTTTAAACATGCACTATGAACAGAAACTCTCATGTAATCGAACTGCGCTGTTATGAAGCATATCTTCGGTTAGTTCCGTTTAGTCGTCTCTTGTCCTCTTTCTTCACCTGTTGGAATATCCATGACGTCAGGCGTGCGTCATCCGGTTCATTATCATCGTCTGTTACTCGAACATACCTACTGTCGCTTTCTCCCATTTAACGGACATCACTTTACATCACTTTTGAGGTCGGCAAGATGTAAGCAGTCGAATACTCAGATCAGGAATTTTACCGTTCAGTATTTTGGTTTGTATTTTGTATTCTGACTGTTTGATTTTTGGTCGAATATCTTGCTATCGCTTTAATAAAAATTTGATAAACCAATAAAATAAGCATACACCATATAGATAAGTTTTTGATAAATAAAGCTCATAGTATATGAAAAAAAGTAATCGATAGAAATAATCCACATTTCTAACGTTACTAACTGGAGGGCTCTCTATCTGTTATTTTGAAAGCACGCTTCAACAAGAACCTATTTATCGCCTCTCAGATAATTAGCCTTTCAATGTAAATTGTTTTGTGTATTCTGTTGTGAGCGTGTGGGTAGGTGCCAGGTTCAAAGCCCTACCTCAATTTAACAAAGATAAAAAGTATCGTCGCTCATTTAAATATTTGTTAAGCGACACGATAATGGTCCAACCTTTGGCCACAATAAAAAAGCGACCGCATTTAAGAACAATCGGTAACGGGATCGAAAAGTCCATCTTAAACCAATGTATCAAAAAATGCCCGTCGTCTGTGCGACTAGCAATCAACAGGTTGGTGCCGGTCGGCGCACGTTGAAATTCACAACGTGGTGTAAGAGCCGGCCGACCAATCGGATTCGGAGATTTCATACAAACTCGCTTCGTGTCGAACGTTTATGGAAGGTCGTGACGTCAAAGTCATGTGAGTTATCAGTATCTGACACAAGGAAAACAATTTCAACTATTCGAAACGATACGTCGTTAGTGTTCTGACAGTGGTTAGTCGTGCGCCATATCTCCGTCTGACTTTGCGCGCCTACCGATAAACCATCCTTTGTTTTTATCTTGTGTTGTTTAAATGTGTCTTAATATTACATAGTTCGAGTGATTTGTACAATTGGATTTTCTAGATAACGACAAAGGTATGTTGCTGTTTTGTCTCTTTTCGGTCATCAAATCTTTATTCCGGAAATGCCATTTCAAAGGGGAATGTTGAAAATATCCGGTTTGAATGAAATTTTCCTGCTCGCTTCGATGTACCTACGTGAAACGGTTGGGGGAAAACCCTCTACGATAAGCGCGACGGAAAGTCCAAGCTAATAGAGAAATATGTAGCTGTTTTTCAAATTAAATTATCGTAAATTTAAACACGGTTGGGAAATGGTTCTGCGAAGACCTTGAAGTGGTACTGGAAAATTCTTAGAAAGATGGTCTTCTTGGCAAGGACACCGCGACAATACAGTCGTTTCTATAATTTTCATGTAAACTGTCTTTGTTGATGACCCCGTATTCCATTCTAGTACGACTTGAGTACATAACGCGAAGTTTTTATTGCCGCCGCCGTAGAACCGATTACAATTCCCACATTTGCTATTCAAGGATCATGTAATTTATTTATTTACTTGGTTGGTATGTTTTGTTCTATTCGACGATTTTTCGAACGATCCTCTCCATTTCCAAATCATCCCGATAAGTTTTATTTGTTGGCTGAACAAACACGTCGCGATATTTGTTTTTACGGGTAGACGCCTATTTACATTAGGATAATGTCGGTATTTGTTGTAAAAATCGCTCGCCATAACGTCAAGAACACGTGTTGGTTCTCGTTAAAAAAAAGTAGCATCGGTATGTAAAGCATTTCCGACTGCCGCCGTCGATGACTCATGAGTCCTGTCGTGTCCAGGTGACCCCCATGAGACGCTCCGCCCTCACTTTGTCTCGAGAAACCACAGGGCACAGGCTCCAAGTCGTACCATGCTCCGTGTGACCCCCTTTACTCTTTTTACTCCTGAAGGTCGTTTCAAGGCTACTACAATAAAATTTTTGCAGTCGACTTCTGCGAAGAATTCTTAGTCATCATCCACTTCAAGAATGCAGCGGGCGTTTTATGAATGGAAATGTTATCGAAATGACTTTTAAAATTCTTCTACGGACAGTTAATTTCCGAAAATTAAATCAAGTCATTCGATAATCCACATTTTTTATGTGTGCGAATTGTTAGGGACACGCACGATGTTCAAGGTGACGACATAACCTTTGGGTTGTCAGAATCTTGGATAACCAATCGGTGTCGGTTTGACATTTTCTTGCCGAAGCGACCGATTTAACAAAGCCATTATAACTTCAAATTTAATTCGACTTATTAGGAATGTTATTGAATTCACGGATTGCGTCATTTCAAAATATAGAACTCGTAAGTGTACGTCACTTTTAATTTTATACCTACGTACAGCTCGTAACTGTAAAATGTTTATTGCTCCCTGAGTCTCATGTGTATTATAAATTGAATTTTTATGTCCTGTCTGTGCTCCAAGCTTCGCACTCTGTTCGTGGCAATTTTCTTTCGAGTCTTGTCCTGGAAAAACTGAAGAGATACAAACGTTTCAAATTAACTTGGCCAACGAACGACATTAATCAACGTCCAGTGCGTATCTTTTTTTTGAAATCGTGCCAAAATGAGGCGAACCTTGAATGTTTAGCTCCATCGGTGCACTTCGGTATTATCGCCTGTGTCCTTTGTTCACGGCTGCAACATAAACATTGTCTAATTGCTTACAACAGACGGACTCGTTGTTTTATTCGAAACCATAAGGTTCGAGTTTTTTCTCCGTTGTCAAGTTAATTTAGGTTGATTAACCGCATGGTTCGCCGTTTAAAACGGAAGTTGCGGCAATAAAGATGGCGCCCCACAATTGAAAGGACTCTTTGAAACACGCCTCTGTTTTGGTATTAAGTGAATTCCAAGATATACTCGGTATTGGATTTAATCGTCAAAGAGTTCTCGCAACTGATAGTGATAACGTTGGCATACTAAATCAATGTTATCGACACTTCGGTATATATCTGTTGTTAAATATTTACTTGCGCCGAACTGAGCAGGTACACAAATTGGACATTGTCCAAACCACGTACAAGGTTACATGCGAAAAGCCAGTATCTTCGGTTATTTCGCATCGTTCCTTGTTAGATATTAGAAAAATCTGCACGAAATATTGAGTGAATAAACGCGAGAAACACGAATATGTGCATCCGTTTTGTCACGTCGTGCATTAGGATGCAATCAAAAAGCAAAAACGAGGAGGAAGTTCAGCGATAACGCGTATTAAAACAATGAAATTTGAGTGATATAAATAAATGCAAAGTAGTTAATGCGAACTTAAAGTCTACCTCGATCTAAATAAAGCAGAGGTGGGCGACAAACCAAAATTCCCGCTTGGCAAATTCATTCTTCGACTGACTGAGCCTCGGGTAACTCAAAAGCTCAGCAGTCATTTTTCGAACGAACGACTACGATTGTAAAACAAAACGATATTCGAATATCACTCGTCGCTGATTATTTTTCTTTTTTTATTATACCACTCTCCGTTGTATATTTTCTTTGAATTTTTTTAAACGACATCGGTGTGGTACTTGGACGAAAATGGCCTACTTAGATCAAAGAGAAATTGCCAATTTTCTCGCACAGGAGTTATTTTATCAGCAGGTATTTGTTTGTGTTCTAATCACCCCTCAGTCGCTCCAGACTTGCCTAACTAACAACACGATTGATAGCTTATTATTTGAAAATAACGTAGTGTTCTTACTAAATCGTGGATTTAATTGCGAGTTAATTCTACCTTAGAAAACTCAGTCACGTTAAGAGATGAATATCAAGTCATTTCCTAGTTTAAAGTTCTATTTTTAAACCTGACTAAATAACGTCAACAAATAGCGAACGTATTATGTTGTTTTGTAATATATTGGCGGTGTGTGCTTTCTCTGGTCATTATTTTGGGTTTTCGCGCATCGTCACCAAAATGTCCGATCGCTTTCTTCAATGGCAACTAAATTATTGCACAAACAAAAGCTTTAAATGGCGTCCTGAAAGCAATTTATAAAGCAGACACTACATTCCGGACTTTCTTTGTTACAGTTTATAACTCTAGAAGGCATAAATTCGGGAGTACCAACTCGAACAACCCCCACGTTAACTCCGACAACTCTTCGAAGCATCGAGCAAACCTTTATTGAGTTGCAGTCGAAGCCGGAATCTCACGAAAACGAAGCCGGTTTTGTGCCACCTTTGGTGCATTCAATAGGTAAGTCCTATCACTCCAACAAACAAAAACCCAACTGATTTGTGCGTGTTTCTTTCTTAGGAAATAATCAGTACATCTCAGCATCGGATGCTGATATTTACTCGTCAAAGTCACAAACCATGTGGCAAAATTCACTATCACAATCCAGTTCTGATTCTAACACAAGGTCGACGCCACCCCTGACCCAAAAAACTAGTCTAATTAACAATACACCGAATCAAACGAGGCGTAACATGGGTGGTCGAAAACCAACGAAGGATCTCAATATTAGTCCAGAAGAAGAGGAACGAAGACGAATTCGAAGGGAACGTAACAAAGCAGCAGCGGCGCGTTGTAGGAAACGTAGAGTGGATCACACGAATGCACTGATCCTAGTGAGTATTCTATTGCGTCTTTCAAATATTCAATAGTTTACAAATTCTGTCTCTGTGTGTAGGAAACTGAAGAATTGGAACAGAAGAAACAAGCGCTTCAAGACGACATACAGCAACTGCAGGCTTTGAAGGATGAACTGGATTACATTCTCGAGTCGCATCGCTCGTCTTTGAATTGTCGGCTCCATTCCCAGAGTCCTCCGGACATCAAACCTTTTCCTCCGTACGAGAACAGAGTCAACGGGGACAGGGTTAAAGCTGAAACTTTACCTACTACAGTTGCAGATGACGATACGTTTTCTTTACCTTCGCCCGCCAAAAAAGTGATGTTGAGTTCCGCCGTTCCGATCTCGAAACCTAGCAGACCGAATTCTTTGAATGTGATGTCTACAGCGCCTATAGGCAAAAATAATAATGTTAGCGATTTAACGGGTATACCTATTACGACCCCATCGACAGGCATGCAGTTTAATTTCGATTCGTTGATGGTGGGTGGTACCGGGCTTACCCCAGTCTCAGCTCCTTTGGTGCCTTCATGTAGCACGCAGCAGAGGAACATCCCTGCGAATGCTGCAGATATGACGTCACCTGATGCGTGCGGACCTCCGAAACTTGTTAGTTTATAAAAGAAGGAAGTGTAGCCCGAAACTGTGTTATGTGAAAAAATATTCATACTGTTGTATTATTTTATAGTTATTAAACATACAAATTTATTTATTAATATTTTATGACTTTTTTTCACATAAGCATTTTTGAGCTACAATTTCGTATTAAAGAAGCCAAGAGATCAACGTTGTTGGACGAGCTCATTTTTAGCTAAACAAAATTTTTTTGGTATAATTTGACTGCCGCAATTTTTGATGTGTCCAACATTTACCAACCATGTTTAGTATTCTTGAAACCAAACCAAAAATATTTATTACTAATTTATTAGTAATGTCCTAGTGTCATTTCATTATTTATTGTTATATTTTAAAATAGTCATTTGTATATAACTTACTATACTAAACATGGACCAAAATGTCAAAGTGCTCAAGCTATTTTGCTATGCTAAATGCAGATTTATTTTTTGCTACCAAGAAATGCCTTTTTTGTAATGAAAAAAAATCTGTATATTTTCACTTAACGCAAAGTTATTCCCTCCATACATTTTTATATGATAGATATAAGGTTAATGTTATATTTTTGCAATAGGAGTGCTCCTATTCCAATAAGCGAATTTGTGTTATTACTATTAAGTATATAATTAATATATATTGAGAATACTTTTAACAAATAGGACTATGAGCAATACTGTGGTTACAATATTTGTAATCACCTGTCAATTTTATATAGAGTTTGTCAGATTTTTGTATTTATTTTATGCAATGCCAATTAAGAAATAAATTTTATCTTTTAAAGTTTTCGTATTTTTTTTTCGATGTACGTAACGAATTGGGCAATAAATCGTTGTGCTTGACGGTGTACAAATTAAAACTAAAACGGGAAAATACAATTTAAAATCGGAAATTACAATACATCTCGTTAATCATTTAAAATTGAATTAAAATTCCTTCACCTAACAGAAAATTAGAAAAACACTTACATTTAATGTTTGCACGCTAGAAAATCCTCTACACAGTAGAACGCTTTGTTAATTTATTTTTTTTTAATTGTGAGAATTCCACTAATGGTACCTAGTTGCCTAATGTTGACAGGAAGTTATTAAATATTTTTGGTCCATAATATTTACAGCATTTCTACATTTCAATAAGCGATAAAATTCAGTAACAATGTAATTTTTAAACCTACGTTATTTGCATAAACATGAATATTTTTTTAAACATATAATTAAAGATTGAAATATATACAGCGAATGTCCCAGGTTATAAGACAGTAACAGCTAATACCGTGTGTTCATTAATTATTTAGATCAAAGAATGCTGTGCGATTTTGAACCTAAATGTGTATTCTCGGTTTTGGATACTTTTCAGATTAAATTAAACAAACAGATGTGTAATGTTGGTTGCATACTGATATAAATCAATCTACGAACGAAGTTTAGCTCTTACTTGTTGAAAACTAGAAACACTAATGGAAGAAAATAACTGGTAATGGTATCCATTTTCCTGTATACATAAATTGACCCGTCTTTTCATGTTATCAAACATCTTTTGTAGTGTAGCAGGAGTAATGCGCTCACACTCTTCGGTAATTCTGTGTTTCAGTTCTTCTATGGTGCGAGTGGGAGTTTTAAAAATAGTGTTTTTTCGATGACCTGTGGGGGGTACTCAAAGAATTCACGTAAAAAATTCAAATTGTCTACTGTTGTGTGTGCCGTGGCACCGTCATGTTGAAAAAATTCGTCTTCATTCTCCTGTAACTCTTAAACAAAAGCAGTTAGGATATTGTTTCGATATCTTTATACTGTTACAATTTCCTCAAAGAATGTGGGTCCAATGATACGTCTGCGAGACATTGCGCACCATACACCATTTTAACAGGATAGAGTGGTGTTTCACGAAAGACATAGATTTTCAGCACTCCAACATCTCATATTTTCAGAGTTAACATACATAACTTACAAAACAAAATCTCATAATTGTGATCGTCATTGAGATAGATTGAATTCACTATGATACCCATTCAATCTATACAAAACCTGCATCCCTTGTGCAGGTGGCGCGACAAATCCCGCTAGCCCCACTAGGAGCCGCGCCCTCCGCTTCTGCTACGTGTTTCGGTGTTATTTAACCTCAATTCCATTTTAAATGTTCAATTTCTATGAGTCTGATATTATCGACAACTGAACAAGTGTGAAAGTTTCAAAAGAGCAATAAACAACGTTTAAATTCGCCATGCAATCTTGTGAAATTTTAAACAACAAATAATTCTTATGTGAGATTAAAATTGGACATCAGATAATTTATACGATGGAAACATTCATCAACAAAATATTTACAAAACAAAAACTTAGCAAATATTTATAAAACCCAAAGATCTGGTGTGAAATAAACTTGTGCAAATAAAATATTATGTGATGTTAAAACTGTAGAGCATGAAATTTACGTTCAATTAAAATTATACAACAAAGAAAATTACTGAGGTTAAAATTGTGAGATAGAGAAATATTGTATGAGGGGAAAAATTGCAAAGTTAACAAAATTTACATGAGATTAATACTTGCCACACTTTATCAACGATTCATACGTTATGTAATGATCCAAGTGATTGGTTACTTAAAACAATTTACTTTGAGAGTTTATGTCTCTCGGTGATGTAAATTTTAGCGTTGCGAGGAAATGTCTCGATGATGTAAATTTTAACGTTGCGAGGAAATACCTCGATGATGTAAATTTTAACGTTGCGAGGACATGCCTCGATGATGTAATCAATCTTTAGCGACGCGAGGACATGCCTCAGTAATGTAATCAATCTTTAACGTTGAGAGAACATGTCTCGGTGATGTAATGATAATAACGATGATAACTGCCTAAGGGAAGAAATTATTTTGACCCCCCGCCAGTTCACAGTATAATTTTGTTAATTTAACTGCCCTAAATGAACTATTATGAATCTTGTGTGAAGAATTAAGAAGTGTTATAGTGTAACACTTACGTATATGCATCCAGAAACTTATTTATAATTTGTAAACAAAGGTCGTTATCCTGCCTAAGTGAGCTTCATGAAATCTTCTAGCAAGTGGTTTATATAAATAATCCTGATTGTTAAATTGTGTTAGCACTAGTTGGCGATTAAAAAGAACTAATCTGATCGATGAATTCAACTATAGAGCAGTGGGATTATTATCGAATTTTGCAAAACTCTTTGAGTCATTATGTTCTGAAGTCATTTATTCGCATGTAATTTCTAATATAGCGTCAGAGCAACACGGATTCGTTAAAAGGGCGGTCTACAGCTACAAACTTGTGTGAATTCACGCAGTTTGTATCAACAGCTCTTGATCATCGACAACAAGTAGACGTGATATACACTGACCTATCTAAAGCATTTGATAGAGTCCACCACTGCATATTATTGACAAATTAATCGTAATGATGAGGTCTTTATTAACGGGAAGAACAGTTTGTTCAACATCGTGGATTTAGGTCTCTAACATACTTATAGTAACCAGTGGAGTAGTGCAGGGATCTAATTTAGGACCTCTAATGTTTATCATGTTTTACAACGATGTGGTCAATTCAATTTCTTGTAAGACGTTCATTTATGCAGAGTTACGCGAAATTCTGATACATTGATCGATCCTATTTTTATCAACAATAATGCATTATTTCGTAGAAGTGAAGTTATAAATGCTGATCAAATATCTGATCATCGTCTAGCCTTTTCCATATTAGACATAAATATTCCTAAAATGACTCCTAAATATATTACATACAGAGACTTTAAAAACTTCTTGCATTATAAATTTATGTTAGACTTAAATAAAAAATCTTTGGATAATATTTATTATATCTTCAATGTTGAAGATAAAATCAGGTACCTTAACACAATTGTGTTAGAATTATTTGACTATCACGCTCCGTTCAAAACCTCGTTCATTTCAAAGCCCTATGCACCTTGACTCACCCCTTCTATTAAAGAATTGATGAAACAAAGAAATCGAGTATTAAGTTTGTATAAGCAAACAAAATCTGCACAGCACTGGCTATTTTATAAACAGCTGAGAAATTTTACGGTTGCTGTACTGAAACGGGAAAAAAAGCATATTTAGATTATGAAAGTAATACTTCAAACAAAAAAAGACTATGGGTTCCTCTGAAAAAGTTAAATATTCAAAAAAAAGTTAAAGGATGTGATCTATCTACATTCAGTCCTGATGAAATAAATGAATATTTTTTGTCAGTATTCACTCCTCCCCAAAACTCTGTTGAAGCTGCTAATAACATAAAAGGTATCAAATATAAACCAAATTGTAATTTTAAATTTTCATTCCTAAGACCAATAAGTATTCTTCCAACGTTATCTGAAGTTTTAGAAAAATGTATCCATAATCAAATCTTTAAATTTATAGTAAAAGAAGAGATATTATCTGAAGATCAATCTGGTTTTCGCAAGGGATATAGCTCAACGACAGCTGTAGCTTCTGTTATCGATGATTGCCTGATTGAACTTGACAGAAACCACGCAAGTATTGTAACTCTTCTGGATTATTCAAAAGCTTTTGATACTTTGGACCACCACCTCCTCTGCGTCAAACTGAAATATTATGGGTTCGATCGAATTTCTGTTTCGTTTTTTAAATCGTATTTACAAAATCGACATCAACAAGTTGTAATCAAGTCTGGTAAATCTAAAATTGGCTTAATAACATCAGGCGTACCGCAAGGCTCGGTCTTAGGCTCAATTCTTTTTACTATATATACTTCCCAATTGTTGCAGATACCTTCAGTTTCTAAAAAGAGAGCCTTTGCAGATGACACCCAACTGCAGCATCATTTCCAACCTAACGAAGTTGATATAGCATCTACCCATATAAACAATGACTTAAAAAATATAGCAAATGTCATATCTGATATTAACCTCCAATTGAATATAAATAAATGCAAAGTAATTTGCTTCGCTCCTCGAAAATTTAAAAATGTTCTTTTTGACAATATTAATATTAAATTTGCTAATGTAAAACTACCAGTTCTACATACTGTAAGAAATTCGGGATTGATGATTGAGGACGATATTCGTTTTAAGACCCATATTTCTAACATTATTAAAAAATCTTATGTAGCATTGAAACTTCTGTATTCAAATTACCTTTTACTAAATTTTAAATTAAGGAAGAAATTATGTGAGTCTCTTGTCTTGTCATATATAAATTATTGCTTAGTAATATATTACCCAGTATTGATAAATACCGTCTTTAAAAGATCCAAAATAATTGTTGTCGTTTCATTTTTGGTTTGAGGAAATTTGATCATGTGTCTCAGAAAATGGGCGAGCTCGGTTGGATGAAAATTGACAAATTGTTTCAGTATCACCTATCTAAATATCTTTGCTTTCAAGTTATTTTCCTCTGCCTCTCAGCCGTACTTGCGTCGTAAATTTCGTACAAGAAAAAGTATATTAAGGGGACTCGCTAGACGAGGTGTAACATTTTTTTGGTTTTTTGTATGAAAAAATGATATTAAGATAGATGTATCATACATCAAACTGCAGCTTTTTTCATATTCTAGAGCGCAGAGACCAGTTCAATCAACTAAAAAAATATGGCTGAGAAATATCGTGAAAAAAGCACTATTGTATGTTTTCTTTTCAAGTTTTTTGAGTCTCTCAAATCTTTCATTAAGGAATCTACAAGAATTGTCAATGCCAAAACATTATACATCTATCTTTCAGAGATCTTTCACGTATAATATTATCAAAGTTTACAATAAATTTTTATTAGAGTTTAATTCGAGTTCCT